GATTTGTCAAATTAAGGCATCCTAACCTTAATTAAGTGTTCCTAGAAAATGATCCCTCACGGGTTAATAACACAAAAATGCACTAGATTGCTTGGTTAATTATATAACCTTAACTTTATTCGTTTTTACATCCGTACAGAATCTGATTCAATCATACATGTAGAATTTGTGGAATGATTTTTCATCGTTTTCCTTGCAAGTACTGATGAGTATATATTGATTCTCTTTTTGATCCAGAAGGTCATGACAGCTTTTAAATCCTTTGACAATAAAAAATATTATCAATAATAAAAAAGAGGGATATGATATACAATAATACCGACTACCATAAAGAGAGATATCATCTTACTATGGAGATACGAATTGAATACGAATATCCATTCTAATTTGTTGCATCTAAAGACAAAAGGTCTTTCAGTGACACAGCGCAATATCTTTCCATGTGATCTAGCTATGTTTTAATTGAAGCATTAAGCTTTAATAATTGAGTAGTAAAAGATTCAGTTGCCTCTTTAGCATCTAAATTTAATCATAGATTTGTTGTTTCTGTTCTTCTTTTTCTGATTATTATTTCCAACTTAACTCAATATGCTTAAACATTGGACAAAAACATGTGCATGTTAGTGGATTAGCACTTGGATAAAGGAATAAGATACTAAAATTTTCTTATTAAGGAGCCAACTGAAAGAAGATGAAATAATTTAAATTTAAAACAATTAGATGAACAGTAGATATAGGTTGAAATAGTTTTGATCGAATACATTTATTAGGTCATAGTTTATGAGTGAATCTCGTAGTGAATAATATTTATGATATATAAGAACTCACATTATGTGCCTAAGAATGATGTTGACAACTTGACATTGTTTCTTTAATGCCATAATTAAACCCAGCATGGCTCTCTCTATCCGAAAAGAAACCCGATAGAAACCCATTATATGGCTCTTAATATAGTCTATCTACGAATTGCGTACTATATATGAATTTTAAGGTCGATCTGTTTTAATTTGTCAGAGTAGTTAGACTGTTATACGAGTTTAGGAAGCACAATCTCTACATATAGCAAGTATATAGGACAATTAAGTAGATTTATTATATATGCATATCGTGTTTTGTTTTGCTGATTTTGTTTTAATTACCAATTATATTCTGACTCCATCAAATTTGGATTGTCATTTTCTCAATAAAATTTAAATTATAGTTCTATAATCTTGAAGTATTATGAAAAATTGCTAATAAAATAGACAAATATAATGTAATTTTAGTTGCAATACGGCATAGAAAACTTTCAATAAAAACTTTGATGTTGCAGGTGCCATTTTTATTTCGAACCTTAATTTTGAACTTGGCTTTTATATTATTGTGTGTGGTACTATTGTGTAACAGACTAACTGAACACTGAAATCCCGCTTCAGAATTCGTCATTAGTGACGATTGACGATCTCATCCATTGTCCTTAAATTTGAGTCCTATTGTCAAAATGGAACTTGTTCATATTCAATTCACAGATATTCAATGCAGCGATAATTGTAAGTGCTGAGGTCTGAAGATGATCATTGTTATTAAAAATCCTTAAAGAATGAAGATCGGGACGTAGCTTGAGTGTGGCATACATGGAGCTTCTAGAAGAGATTGGAAACCATGAAGAAATCAAGTTCTTGTATGGCCATTGTTTAGTCATTGATCATTATTCAAATTTCGATACTTCACACGAGATTCTCATAATTCCCATTGTGCTTACCCAAATAGCTTTGGTAAACATGTTGATCAAATAAGTTGAATTCATTATAATATAGTTCGATGATAGTTAGAGTTGATATATTAGTTATATAGTCCTATAGATAGTGGAGTTAGCTATCATTAATCAAAAAGAATCTAGATTACTAAGTCAAAGTCAATATTATAAAAAAGAATGCAAATTGATGTCTTTAATTGAGTTATTGATTTAGAAAATAAAAATAAAAAGTACAAGGAAATAAAAACTAAATTTTCATTAAATTAAAATATTTAATATTTAATAATTTCAAGTGATTAAAATTATAAAATATATTAAATTATCATAATTTATTATCCTTAAAATATACTCATTAGTGTATTCAAATTAGATTCTTACTCAGAATTTATTTAAAAAATTAAAAAAATTAAACGTTAATAATATAATCATTTATGTTATCATCTATTTTATCTATAACTATAATAAAAGAGATTGAATATTTTCATATTTACAATTTTTATACAATTTTACTTTGTAACTATTTTTTTATAAATCATTTTTTTATTCTTTTATATAGATTTTGCTCCATAGTTGTTTGTTATCCATTTTTAGATAATTTACATTTCATTCCATAATAGTAGGTCTATATTTTAATTTTTTAAAAATTATAAAAATACAGAATGTCTTCTTTTTTTTTTTTACGCTAGTATCATATGATAAAAATAATTAATTTCTATAATAAAAATTACTTTAATTAATAGTTGTTCTTATCGGAGATCGGTCGTAGAGACGATCTGTTAGGCAAGATCGGTGAGCCTCCTTCGTTGGGTACGGTTGCTGTTTCAAGTGGGGTGATACCTGCAAAAGAGACCCCGATACTAAAGTTAGTATTTGTGGATGTATGAGTCTCGTATAAGTAATACACGTACCTTAGTGTGAATTAGGATTTTTCTGGGTCTCGGGCTGAGATCGATTATAACCTGTTTAGATAGTGGGTCTTGTCTTGGGCGATGTCACGCAGTACATGTCAGATGTCATGCAGTACATGTCCGATGTCAATATATGTTGTGTTGCCGAGCTTGAGCTCGGCTTAGTTATCCGAATAGTACAATAACTATTCTTAAAATGATATTAAATGAATTAATAATATAAAATGATATTAAATGAATTAATAATATAGAGAATTGAATTATACCGGATATGTCAAAAACAATCTTAAAAACCAATTATTTATTTCGCACATTTTGATTAACTAAATTTTATGATTGTTTCCAATTGCAGTTTGTGTTGCCAAATGGGTAAATTGTCATTTTAGTAAATACTTTCACAATCACATCCATTACTTTCATAAATGAAGCTTAATTAAACCGCAATTAATCCTCTCTCTTTTTCCCTGAGCTGAGTAAGTGAATCTCCATTGAAACAGCGACATTTGCACTCTTTGTGCTTTCTAGAAACACAAGAGAGTTGTCAGTTGGTATTTATCTTCTCCTCTCTCAATCACTATTTTGTCTCTTCGAATATTTATTTTCAACGTGGCCCCTCCTTGTTTATAGTATGGAGTCAGTTTCGGCGGCTAGACTTTTCCGTGCGTCGTTTGCTCTCTCTCTCTCTGCTCATCATTTTTTGAATTGAATCAAAAATCCCCAGCCATCAGTAGCTAATATTAATTTTATTTTAAAAATACCTATATTATCAATATGAATTTTCGCTGTCAATTGTAATCCAAAGAAGAATCCTCTATGAAGGACAAAATAATTAAAGATGTAATAGCAGTATAAGTACATGCAATGATATATTTCTGTAATTGAGTTATTTGTGAAAGTTGTGAAACGTACCATCATCTTAATATTTTTTCTTTCTTTCTTCTTTTGTTTAAATATGCGGTACATATTCTCGAACAAGAATCGACAAGTAAGGGTTAAAAATGACGTAAATGATTGCATCGACATCCCCTAAAAATCCTAAAATTGATCAATTGATCAATTGATCAAGAAGGAATCATGCCCAGTGACGCCTTAATGATAGCATGGTGCGAAAATTACCATTAGAACAGACCGAGTTTGGTAAGTTTGTTAGCAGTTCTAATTTTCACTCACATTTTCTTCTGCGGTAGTAAAGAAAATTTTGACAAAGAATATATATATATATAGACACACTCGTGTATCATTTCAATGGCTGAGTCAAAGACACTGGAATACACTAATCGTGGGGTCCCATTTACTCATATTCTACGTTTGCGTATTTAACTACTCCAAAGGTGAATCAACTGGTGCATATATATTGCATCTGATGATGTTATTTCTGAAATTAATAGAATATCCGGTGCATTTTTTTTCATTAGATTTGCAATCTTATACTTTCTTCCCATAAATTATTTATACAGTATGTATTATTGGCTTATAATATTTTAGGTATTAATAAATCCAATATTTGAACTGAGATACTTAAACAACCAACAAATGAACAAACTTCCGTGATCATTAGTGAAACCCCAATATCCAGGCTCTAAATTTAATTCGAAATATCCTATTTTTACAAAATGTCTATATTTCCCTGCAGTATCATCATCGATATCTAATCCCGACCACATATATAAAACGTTGGAAAGGTAACCATCATATAAAATATATCTATTATATGTAATTCATTTAGTTAAGGAAGACAGGTGAATGGTGGTAGTTAAATTCCTTAATGAATATTTATTATATTACTTAAATCAATAAATGAAATACATGTCATTTTTCTAACAACACGGTTGTCAATACATAATTCTGGATTGTATCGGTCAGTTTTTCTTTCCTTTCCTTATAGCATTTCCTGTGAAGGTTGCTTATAAGTAACACATATGTCACATTGACTCTTTTCTACTTTATGAGTTACTTAAGTTTTAGTACTAGAATTTCTACAAGCAACTTTGCTAAAATTTAAATAACCTATAAAGTAAAAAAGAGCTGATATAGTACGATATGATACATGAATTACTTATAAACAACCCACTGATGCTCATGATATTGTTTTTCTTTTTGTGTATAGGGTAATACGGTGGCGTTCTTTGTAATTGTTTGTGCAATAATTGTGTTGAGTCCAAGTCAATGGCTGCATGTACATACATTGACACTGGCCACTTAACATCCAGCGATTTGGTGGGCCTCCATCCACACGGGAAAGCGTCATTGGATCACTCGTCCCATAGACTAGAGGCAATGGGTCAATTTAGAAAAGAAAACCGGGTAGTGCATTAGGAAAAGTAGCATTAACAATCTATCTGCCAGCACCGGGTAAAAAATAAAATATGAAAAGAAGGAGGAGGAGAAAAGGACCATTGTAACAGAAATATGAACCTTGCAGTTGCAGTAAACTAAACCATAATCCAACGATGTCGTTTTACTTAGGAATGCCCATGTTTGCTTTAGCGTGACCTCAGGGCTCAGGTCCACACACCAATTAGCGCCATTTCTTTTTCCTTCAATATCACTACTTAACGTGTGGGAGTTGAAATTGAAAGACCCAAATAAAACAACCTCGCAGCCGTTTTTCTTTTCCACTCTCCAAAGTCCAAACCAAACCCAACATGTTCGCCGCCTTGCGTCTCCTTCTTCTTCTCTCACTCTTCTCACCACTCACCAATGCCCAAACCAACGACGAGCGTGAAATTCTTCTCACCCTAAAATCCTCCCTCGGGAAATCAAATCCCAAACTCTTGGACACGTGGAATGCCACCAATTCAGTATGCACCTTCGGCGGCGTCACCTGCAACTCCCTCCTTTCGGTCACCGAAATCGACCTCTCCAACCAGTCCCTCTCCGGGGTTCTCCCCTTCCACTCGCTCTGCAACCTTCCATCGCTCCAAAAACTGGCCTTGGGCTTCAACAACTTAAACGGCAACGTTTCAGAGGATTTAAGAAACTGCGTCAAGTTACGCTACTTGGACTTGGGAAACAACCTTTTCTCGGGTCCCTTTCCTGACATATCTCCGCTCAACCAACTGCAGCATCTTTTCCTAAACAAAAGTGGATTTTCGGGGACTTTCCCGTGGCAGTCGCTGTTAAACATGACGGATTCTCTGTTACAGTTAAGCGTCGGAGACAACCCTCTGGACTTCACGCCGTTTCCCAAAGAGGTTGTGAGTCTCAAGAATTTGAATTGGCTCTACCTATCCAACTGCACCCTCGGAGGGAAACTTCCGGTGGGACTCGGCAACCTCACGGAGCTAACGGAATTGGAATTCTCCGATAATTTCATCACCGGCGACTTCCCCGCGGAGATTGTCAACCTTCGCAAGCTCTGGCAGCTTGAATTCTTCAATAACTCCTTCACTGGAAAGATTCCAACTGGCTTGAGAAACCTCACCAGACTTGAGAATTTGGACGGGTCAATGAATAAGCTCGAAGGGGATCTCTCTGAGTTGAAGTACTTAACCAATATAGTTTCCTTGCAATTCTTCGAGAACAACTTGTCGGGGCAGATTCCTATTGAGATAGGCGAGTTCAAACGCCTCACGGCTTTTTCTCTGTACAGGAACAGGTTAACGGGTCCTATTCCTCAGAAAATTGGTTCCTGGTCGGAGTTTGACTACATCGACGTGTCGGAGAATTTTCTGACAGGGAGGATCCCGCCGGAGATGTGCAAAAGGGGGAAGATGTCCGCGCTGCTCGTCCTTCAGAACAACCTCTCCGGTGAGATTCCGGCCACCTACGGAGACTGTTTGAGTCTGAAGCGATTCAGAGTGAGCAACAACTCGCTCTCGGGAACCGTGCCTCCAACGGTTTGGGGATTGCCAAACGCGGAAATAATCGATATCGAGCTGAATCAGTTGGAAGGTTCGATCACTTGGGATATCAAAAACGCGAAAACGCTGGCAACAATATTCGGCCGGAAGAACCGGTTGGCCGGTGAATTACCTGAAGAAATCTCAAAAGCGACATCGTTAGTGAGTGTGGATTTAAGCGAGAATCAAATTTCGGGGAAGATTCCAGAAGGGATAGGCGAGCTTAAAGAACTAGGTAGCCTTCATTTACAGAGCAATAAATTAACAGGTTCGATACCGGAATCTCTAGGTTCCTGTAAATCACTAAACGACATTGACCTGTCGAGGAATTCACTCTCTGGTAAAATCCCCTCCTCGTTGGGTTCTTTCCCCGCTCTGAATTCTCTCAACCTCTCAGAGAATCTTCTCTCAGGCGAAATCCCGGCAAGTTTAGCGTACCTCAGGTTAAGCCTCTTTGATTTATCCAACAACCGGTTAACCGGTCCAATTCCGCAGGCTCTAACACTAGAAGCTTACAACGGAAGCCTCTCTGGAAACCCTAATTTATGCAGCGTGGACGCAATTAGCTACTTCAAACGTTGCTCTGCTTCCTCAGGCATGTCCAAGGACATGCGCGCACTCCTCATTTGCTTCGCTGTAGCGTTGATGCTGTTGCTCTCTTGTCTCGCAGTTTACTTACAGTTAAAGAGGAGAAGAGAGGAGGGTGAGAAAAGATACGGGGAACGTTCTCTGAAGGAGGAATCATGGGACGTGAAATCGTTCCACGTGTTGAGTTTCTCCGAAGGGGAGATTCTAGATTCCATCAAGCAGGAGAATCTGATAGGTTCGGGAGGCTCGGGGAACGTGTACAGAGTCACGCTTTCCAATGGAAAAGAACTCGCAGTGAAGCATATCTGGAACAGCGACTTCCCCGCGAGGAGAAAATCGTGGAGCAGCACTCCCATGCTGAAGCGTGGCAAGTTGAAGGAGTTCGACGCCGAGGTGCAGGCATTGAGCTCCATTAGGCACGTGAATGTTGTGAAGCTCTATTGCAGCATAACAAGCGAGGATTCGAGTTTGTTGGTGTACGAGTATTTGCCCAATGGAAGCTTGTGGGACCGGCTTCACACCAGTCGGAAAATGGAACTTGATTGGGAAACACGATACGAAATTGCGGTCGGTGCAGCCAAAGGGTTGGAGTATTTGCATCATGGGTGTGAAAGGCCAGTTATTCATAGGGATGTCAAATCGAGTAACATATTGTTGGACGAGTTTCTCAAACCTAGGATTGCGGATTTCGGTCTTGCTAAGGTTGTTCAATCCAACGTTGGGAAAGATTCTTCTAGTCATGTCATTGCTGGAACTCACGGCTACATAGCTCCTGGTTAGTATTACTAATCATTTTAAATATGCCAAATTTAATTTTCTTATTATTTATTATTATTATTTATTATGTTGTTTGAATTGGTGTAGAATATGGATACACATACAAGGTGAATGAGAAGAGTGATGTCTATAGTTTTGGAGTGGTGTTGATGGAGTTGGTGACTGGGAAGAGGCCAATGGAACCGGAATTTGGGGAAAATAAGGATATAGTGAGTTGGGTGCATAACAAGGCACGGAGCAAAGAGGGGCTTAGGAGTGTCGTAGATTCGAGAATTCCGGAGATGTATAAAGAGGAAGCTTGCAAGGTGTTGAGAACTGCAGTTTTGTGCACGGGGACTCTTCCAGCTTTGAGACCCACCATGAGAGCAGTGGTTCAAAAACTTGAGGATGCTGAGCCTTGTAAATTGGTTGGGATTGTTATTAGCAGTGAAAAGAAAAGTGGGGTCAACGACAAATAATAAGATTGTGGATCATCAAGAGGAACCAATCACCTCCACGAGTTAATGTAAATTTTGCTCCAAAGAAGGAACATTGTAAAATATTAGTCATTGCTTCTGCAATTTTAGTATTTTGAAGTGGAAGACCAGGCTACCAGCGTGGTAAAAAGGTCTCCTAAGTACTAAGAAAAAATGAAGCAAAATCTTTCCTTCTTTCTTACTACTAATTACCAGTTAAATGAAACTAGTGGTGTTCAAATAATTGGTTTTTTTGGATTCCGTGTATCATAGATATTACTAATATAAGATGGTTTTAACTTGTTCATATTATTCTGTTTTTCAATTTAGAACACCCTTAATCCAACGTAAACTCGATACTGAAAGATGATTGTGAGACGTCATAAGGCAAATTGAATGCTTACTTTACCTAAATGAAATCGTGAGATAACTGATACCTGACTCCAAATAATAGTAGCATGTTCATGCATCTAAGATTGAATGTTGTGAATTTTTTTTATCATTTGTCGCTATCATCGGCCTCTTTATGAAATAAGATATGTGAAAGCTAAATTCAGTATATTTTGCTTTCATTCATTCACGGTCTACTTTGTGGATTCTAGACGTGGCCATTATTAATGGTAAAGTACTAAATTTTTTTTTTGGATAAATTAACTAAAAGGCAAACAAATGCTTTTAAAACACCTGTAAAAGATTTTCTATATTGTACCCTCCAAATCTCCAATTGACCGAATTGACCGAGTAAAGACTCTTTACACTTTTAACAATTAAGCATGGAAGGTCACGTACCTTCCAACTCTCCATCCGACCGAGCAGGTCGAATTCAAGATCACTCACGGATTTTCTAAGACTGATTAAGGCAGTAATTTCCATGATTCTCGCACATATTTGATTACGGTTATAAATGTGATTTATAAGCTCATTATGAGAAATAAAATGAAGGCTTATTTCAAGGGATTGAGATGGGAGAAAAAGATTCGTATCCTTAAATATGACACCCATATATATAAAGGAAGAATGGTTTTACTAATGTGAGGTTACACTCATCAAATGTTTTAGGTTAGAACGGCGGCTAGATTCTCTTAGGGTTTACATCACTAAAGGTTCTCCGGCTGCTATCCTTTTGCTGGAACATATATATATATATATATAAAATTGTATAATTAATATATTCATTCATTTTTTCAATATAGTTTAAAAAAATATTTATGTTTTAACTAATACTTTTAAGGCAACAATTAATGAGATTTATTAAAAAAGCGGACAGAAAAAGAAAAAAAAAAGATTATGTGTATTTTAATTTTTTTTAAAATGACTTTTTAAAACCAATTTATCCTTAACTCTTTCTTTTTGCACCTATCCTTCTTTAACTCTTTTTGTTTACAGTTATTAAAAGAAATATTATTTTGGTTTGCAGTTATTTGCGTTTAGTCCTAAAAGAAAATATATTGGTAAATAATTACCGGTAGAAACATATTATGTCATATCATATTTTAAATATATATATATATATATATATATATATATATATAGGTTGAACGAATTCTATAAAATTAAATTTTAAGTTTAATTTATTATTTATAAGCTTTTTTATAGATATGATGTGATCTATTAACTTATTTTAACAGTGTTAATTAGGTTAATAAATATAATTTTATAAAAAAATTAACAAATCTATTTTTAAATATATTATTGTGAATTATTATTTAATTTATGCAATAGAAAAATAATTTACTTAATATTATTAAATTTTAAATTTTAAAAGAAATATATACAATGTCACACAAAGAGAAAAAAATGAATATTTTTTGTTAGGGTAATAATTCGTGCATATTCATATATGTTGACACACTCGGGCACAAACAATAAACATTTAATGAAAAAGGGTATAATTTTATTCTTATAAAAAAAACTTTTTATAAGAACTTTTTTAGTTGAAAAAGGTTTTACGGATTTTAAAAGATTTTGTAGAATTTTCATGACTTTTAAGACTTTGCAAGATTTAACAAGACTTTAAATCAGGATTTTAATGAATTTTACAAGACTTTTAAGCTATGATTTTAATGAATTCTATAAGACTTTGTGGATTTTACAGAATTTCGTGGATTTTTGACATATAATAAGAGTTTAAGATTTTTTTTCATACATTCAAATTTAAAAAGAGTCAGAGACAAAAATGATAATAAAGAAACAACCATGTCTGGATAAATAATAATAATAATAATTTCCTGTAATATTATGCCCTCCTAAATAACATTCGCACATATATTCATAGTTATATTAGTCTTCCAAACATTAGCATCTTCTCGCTCTTACTCATGAGTTTGAATAATAAGTTCAAAATTATGATTTTCATTAATCGATAATATTGAAGATGAAGGTTCGTCTATCGGTTCAATTAAAAATTTATTAGAACAACATTTTTTACAAAGAAAGTTATGTAGTGTTGCACATGCTAACATAAGTTTTACTTGTGTCTTAATTATAAATAAGTGTATTGACTTAAAAATTGTGAACCTTAATTTTAAAATACCAACTATTTTCTTGATCACATTTTTTAAAGACGTATGATATAGATTGAACAATTCTTTTCCATTTTCATGGTCATTACTCTAATCTGCAAAATCTTGTAAATAATATCTTACGCCTCAAAATAGATATAGTTATTTGAAGAAAAAAAAATTGTATGTTAAATATGTCTCAATCACTTGTATTGTTTATAAAAAAAGATACGGTAACTATTTTATAATTCTTTTAAAAATGGTCCATGAACCATTTTGGGCAAGGTCTAAATTGGCCCATTTAACTGCAAAATTATACGAATATGTCCAACACGGGCTTATTTAAATATCTACCTATAAAAAGTTACTTAATTTAATAATGGACTCATGTAAACTCAGCATGTTTAGTCTACAACTCCACATACCTAAAACTATTCACACCAATAACAATATTATTATTTTTTAGATTATGCTATAAGGAAAATCTTAACCAATTTGCATTGAAAACACAAGAGTACAATGTATTATTATATGAAATTCTCAAAAGTATTCATTAGTTTTTTTTATAAGTAATTAGAAGTATTTAAGAAAATACATTTCATATTACGATTAACTAAGGTGTGTAAGTTATTATAAATTTGTTTATACTAAATTAATCTTTAAAGATATATATATATATATATATATATATATTTATATGAAGATTTAAATAATATTGATATAATTTTTATTAATTATTATCGTTCAATAATTTTTAATTAAATATGTTTTTTTTAAAATTTTATCATTATATTAAAAATTCTTTAGTCCTAGGTCATATATATAACAATTTATATTAATTAAAGATAATTTGATACTTCATTCTTATAAAATAAAATTAATATAATATATACATGTCAAAATATACTAAAATATAAATATTTTAATTATCTTCTAATTGTTGTTCAAATTTAATAAAATTTAATATATACATACAAATTGATAATTCAATGGTTAAGTAAATAAAATTCACATTTAACCTGGCGGATCAGCTCTACAGCAGATTTCCGGTAAGAACAATATATATTAAACACTCTTTAATAAGACCTATTTTATACAAATACTTTTAGAAAATATTTAAAAGCATGTTTAATAAATATTATTTTTTTTTAAATTGAAATTCTTCCTCCTTGCTAAAGGGTCTGACCATTTTCTACAAAGTTATAATAGTGTGGGTCCTAAACTTGACAAGAGTGTCAAATACAATCTGAAGCCCAAGTTCTTTGTAGACCAAAAATGAAACGGCATTTATATAGAAATAATATATCCGAATGTAGAGACGAAATCGAAACCCAAACAGAAATGAAAACTGTGGGAGTCTGGCTCATGTTCAAATCCACAATTTTGTCTTGGTACGTTGATACCAAAAACAGTAAAATTACCACAACTATTCTCCTAACAACTTTGGACCCAGTAGGTCTGCAACCCAATACATTTTGCTATCTTGCTCTTTGGGTTTGGGCCCTGCTACAAGATGCCAATGCCGTAATTGTGTGCAAGGATCAGTTTTTTTTTATTATTTTTTTTATAATAAATTATTTATTTATTTATAATTTTATTATATATATTATTATTATTTTGATAAGTTTAGATTAAAGTATATACAAATCCAAATAGAATGATACAAAGTATTCGAATTCATGTCTTAACTAATAGGAGGAAAGAGCTTAATTAGTTATATTATCCTTATGGAACACGTATTAATAAATTTTGCTAGCATATTCATTAAATTGTGAAAGAATAAAATTGATGTTAATTTTGTTTTCTTAAAATTTAAGTTGATATTGATCTATTTTGAAATATAACTCATCAGTTTCGACTCTCAATCGTGAGAAGAAAAAAAATATCAAATTCATCCTTCCATATGTGAATAATGAGATTGAGATACCAAATTTATACTATTTCCTATTTATTTTTACGAACAACATTGATTTTGACCTTGAAAAACTGAACTAATGTTATTTTCATCATTTGGGAATCAAATTAATGTTAAAAATTTTAGAGAACTAAACTAATGTCACCCTCTATGTTTTAAAATCTAAATTAATATCACTTATCTTTTAGAGACCAAACCAAAGTTAATGTCAACTTAATTTTTCATAAATTAATATAGTATTGTAATCTTAATTTGGGCTTGGAGTGGGCTTTGAAATACAATATATAAAAGTTCAGCCCTCATAGAAATGGACAAATGCAAATTGAAGATTTAAAATTCCTATTAACTGCATTTTATCAAATCCATTACAAAACTTTCTGGACTAGTCATGCATGATAGGAATGAAAACAGTTTTTCATTTTTAAAAATGCCACGTTTTATTCATTTTGACTGTCTTTTTATTTAAAAAAAAAATCAAGGTTAAATTTTTTTTTCTTTTCCCATCAATAATATGTAGCGATTTTAATCAAAACTTATCCCTTCATCCAATCTATGTGAAAAGAAATAATTTGACAAGACATTACAACAACAGATGATAGAAACGAAGGGCAGAGAGCATGTATTCCATCACTGTTATTTCCACGTTTGTTTTCAGAAAAATAATATTTTAAGGTGGATGCTACCACTAGTATATATTCATGAATCAACAGACATGTATATAAAGATATGCATTGAAGCACACACACGCACAAAACGATATAGGAATTATCTGACAAAGATCACCATTATCTAGTTCTATCTATAAAAATATTCTATGCCAGGCACAACCATGATTACAAGTAGACTATGCCCATTATAAAACTTATTCTATCCAATGCAAATACATCACGAGCCTC